GAACTGAAAAGAGAGGTATTTGATATTAAATTACTGAATAAGATAGGTGGCGCTTCGCGCCACCTATCGTACTAGTATTATATGAAACTATAAAAATATAATTGGCTTATCCTTCAAGTAGGTGATACAGAAAAATGCAAGATGAATAGTCATTTATCTTACAATAGCAAAAAAAATAATAATAAAGGTATAACGTATTATTTATTATTATTTTTTATAAACTTATCTTTTTTTTTATAAATAAAGATTTTTCTACTGGATTGCATGAATTCCTTGAAGAATTCGTATCTAGCCTTGTAACTAGTGTAAGTAGATTATAATAAATTATTAATATAAATGTTGCTATTATTAATTTTTGTTTTATTCAGATTATCAATGATGATCATCCTTTAGAAGTTACTAGAACTCCAAGTCCAGAAAATTGTACAAGGTTGATTACTGATTCTGGTACAACTTCTGTCTCCCGCATTCCATTAACTACTCAACAACCAAATGCCAATGAAGTTCAAGACATCAGTTCAGATTATACCAATGAAGCATCAGAGACACCAAGTAAAAAGCCTCAAAATTCTAGTTACAGTCGCATGTTATGTTCCAAGCATGTTAATATACTGTAATGGTTATGGATATTCAAAAGACTAATTATTTTATTATAATATTGATTACTTTAATTTACATCATTATTATTTAATAGAATTCATACTAAAACCCGAAGCAACAATCCTGTTAAGAAAGCTACAGAAGCTAAAACCCGAAGTAATGATCTTGTTAATGAGACTACGGAAGCTTCAAACATTAAAAATAATGCTAAAAGGCGACCTTCAAAAGTATCTAACAAAGCCAAGACCAAAGGTATGATATAATTGTATATATAATAGTTGAAGTATATTTTAAAAATTGAAATTTAATTTTTTTTCAGAAAAATAATTGTATAGTAATATATGTAGTATGCATATGTGATATTAAATTAGTAATTTATTTGCATGTATTTAATAATTTGCAAAAAATGAATAAATAATGATAATGTAAGCAAAATATTGTGACAACAATAGAATATTTATTGAATACATTTTATATAAATTTAGAATTTTAGTATTTATCGCCGGTGGCGATACCACCACCTCCTATTTCTTTTATCAACTTTAGAGATAGGGTGCAATTTTAGACCAAGGTTAGGGTTAGGTATAAAGGTCCAAATCTTTGTTAGGGTTAGGTTTTTGGGGGTCCTGAACATTTTTACTTAGTACCTTCGACATGTGTTAGCTAGTAGGTTTTTGAGATATAGTGTCCCCGGCGATATCGCCACTGGCGATAAATAGCAATATCCAAATTTATAATAGATAATGCATATTTATAACTCAATTATTTACTAAAAATTAAACAATATCTATCGTAATATATAATAATTTTGTACAAAAATCATATAAATTATTGTTCAAAAAATTGTTCAAGAAATCGACTCCATTTTGAACATTTTTTTGAATAAAAACTGAACAAATACTTAATAGAAACTTAACAAAAAACTGAAAATATAATCAAACAGTTCTAGAACAATTTTAGAATATTTATTTGACAAACTTTTTTTATAGGGCTTTCAAGTTTGTGATACGGCGAATTTCTTTTTTTTTTTATAATGTAAATAGTATTAGCTAATTTGAGCTATAGGCCGCTTCAGTTGATTCTTTGGTTAACGTCACCCCCCTCAGTTGAAGTCTCCCCCCGAAAAATGAACAACCAATCAAACCGCTGGATAGCTCTCGCCAATCACTTGATTTACATCAACCAATGAAATTGGCCCATATCTATTCATTTTTATATGTTCGTTTCATTTTACCCCCTACCGGGAGTCCTAGAAAGTGATGTTAACCGAAGAATCAACTTCGAACGGCCATAAGTGCGAATTTAGTAAAATCGTGTTTCACGATATCGTAGTACAAGAATGTAGGATGCTAAAAAAAAACGAGATGTTATAATAATAAAAAGGATACTAAAAATAAGAGTTAAAATTTCCAGAGTTATCGTTATGCACATTAGATATCCATTGCATAACGTATATTATTGGATTTTATACTAATGTTAGCGTACGTTACGTATGTAAATTCATTATTGAATAACAGGTCGAATACTTTGAATGGTATTATGTATCTCATCATTCCACGACAGGCAGGTCTTAACGCACTAGTAGAATTTTTAGAAATGCTATTGCGTAATCATAACCAATTTCAGAAATTTTTATAACAATCATAATTGATTAACTATTGTAATTGTGTTTGTGTTGCTTATAAAGGATGATTGTACAAGCATTTAATGGGATTTTGCTATGTCCTACGTACAGGTACAGTACATGCGCACATACCTCATAGACTTTTCCCTCTCAAAATGATTGAGCAGCTTCCGAATGAATGCCTTTATGAAATATTTTGTTACTTCAGTGACCTTATGAAACATCATAAAAGCTTATTTTCATGCCTTCTTGTAAATCGGAAATGGTGTAGAATTATTGTGCCGATTTTGTGGAGTAAACCGCTTGATTATTTCGTTGATGAAAGGATAGTAATGATGTATTTTTTATCGCTAAGCATTGAGGATCAAAGACAACTTATCCCATTAAACGTAAAGCTTCCGAAATTTTCAGCACCATTATTTAGATATACTGCTTATACAACTTCTATTAATGGCTATAATTTATTGATTGGTATCGAAAGATGGCTTAGTCGTATCGAAAGATGGCGTCTTTTCTTACATAATCCATTAGATTATCCATTTAATCCATATTCATATCAAATACCTCGTTTATATAATTCATATAATTCATATTATCCAAATTTTTTTCATGAATTAATTAATACTTTGAAATTTTCTTTTATCAAAATGTTTCTGCAAAAATGTAATCAACTTAAAAATTTAATAATCCATGGATTCATTGGTAGGGAGACAATAGAAATCCTTAATATAAACACCCATTTAACTTCTCTAAAACTTGAATCTAATAACTTTGGTTCTGAAGAAGTAAAAAAATTACTGGTGGAAGTTCTCAGTACAAACACGAATTTAAGCTCTTTGGACATTACTAATAACATGCTTGCTTATGAAGATGTAAAAAAATTAGTAGAAGCACTTTGTAGAAACCCTATTCTGACTTCTTTGAATCTTACTGGGAATCAACTTTCTTCTGAAGGTGGAAAAATAATAGCAAAGATTCTTTGCAGTAATTGCTTTTTGACATCTTTGAATCTTGCTTGCAATCAACTTGGTTTTGAAAATGGAAAGGCATTAGCAAAGTTTCTTTATAACAATTGCACTTTAAAATCTTTGAATCTTTCCATAAATCAACTTGGTTCTGAAGGTGCAAAAGAACTAGCAAAGGCTCTTTACCGGAATAACACCTTGACTTCCCTATATCTTAGTGCCATCGGACTTGACCATGAAGGTGCGAAAGCATTGACTGAGGCTCTTTACGTAAATAATACCTTAACTTGTTTGAATCTTAGTAATAATAAGCTTGGTCCTGAAGGAGGAAAAGCGATTGCAGAGGCCCTTTGCATTAATAGTACTCTGACTTTTTTAGATATTAGTGGTAATAGTCTTAATTTTGAAGGAGGAAAGGCATTATTAAATTCTCTTAATAAAAATTCCTCCCTCTTGGTTTTAAATCTCACTGGGAATCAATTGGCCGCTAATAGTGGAAACCAATTTACAGATGACATTTTGTATCAGTTTTTCTTTCTACCTTGTTATGAACTTTGCTGTAACAATAATTGTTTAATTGAAGAACTAGCGAAGGCTGGAAACAGAGTTATTAATGAAAAAGTTTATTGCCCTAAGGATATATATTCTCTGCCTCGATATGAATGCTTTCAATCTCCTCAACTTTGTGAATATCCCGACTTATTGGATATGGTGCCGGACTATAGCTAGTGGCGGAATTAATTAATATGACGACACGTGTCGTATTATTTGCCGTAAATATCTTGAGTCATAATGTAGTAATGTCGCAATGCCGTAATGCCGTAGTGTCGTAATGCCGTAATGTTATTATTTCAATGCTGTTGTATCTAAAATATTATAATGCTATTGTATTAAAATCCTCTAATGCTGCAATGACATAGAATAACATTTCACTAGTGTTATATAGTTTAAAGAAATTTTTAGAAACAAGATATCAAATAACAAAATAAAGATGGTGTTATTTTTTAATGATTTTATTTTGAAAAAAGATCATTTGAACTTTAAGGTTAGAATTGATTTATCTAGCAGATTAGTGATTATTAATTAGTGTATATAATATGGTAGTTATTAACAGAATTTTAACACATGCACACCAATGATGGGTGATGCGACTCACGTGACCTGACGCAACTGTTCACGTGACCCTTAAAACATATGGTTGAGTTGCGTCATGCGTCATGCGTAGTGACGCAACATATGTTTGTCAGGTTGCGTCATGGTTTTGTCAGGCCTCATCAGTTCAGTCAGGGATTTTGCCAAATATGCAGGTCGGTTAAAGCGGAGCAGGGTTTAGGGTTACCTTTTTGATGTAGTTATGGTTAGTGGGTTATATAAACATCAAGAATGCAACTTATGCAGTATGTAGATCATATATTGAATTCGCTCCGCTTTAACCGAC